TCCCAATTCGTCGGTCATCCGACGTGACGTCTCCGTTCCCTCCTTCAGGGAACGAGGGTTAGCATACGTAACCGAGACCTTCACCCAAAAGTGAAAATTTGCTAAAAAAAAAAAAAAATTTATTCACCCTCAGGTCATCCAAGATGTAGATACACTGTTTGTTTGTTTTGTTTTTTAATCGGAACCGATTTGGAGAAATTTAGCAGTACACTCACCAATGGATCCTCTGTAGTGAATGGGTGCCATCAGAATGAGAGTCTAAACAGATTATAAAAACATCACAATAATCCACAAGTGATCCACACAACTCCAGTCCATCAATTTATGTCGTGTGAAGCGAAAGAAACAAACCCATCATTTAGCATTTTAACTTCAAACGGTCACTTCTGGCCAAAATACCAGTCCGTAATCTATAATAATGCTTCCTTCAGTGAAAAAGTCCATCCACTTTTGTCCTCTCACATCCTCATATTTGAGGCATATTTGTTTTGAACTGTTTTGTACTGTTTTCACTTGTAAATTATGCTTGATCTGTGCATATTGCCCATCAATTAATGTCTAGTGAATTGAAAAGCGGTGTTTTTTAATAAACAAATTAATCATTAAGACATTTTAAACTTCAAATTGTAGCTAAAATACCTCTATGCTCTATCTATAATGTTACTTTCTCCACTGAAAAAGTTGTCATCTGAAACAGGAGAGAACTATACACAGATCAAGCACCGTTTACAAGCGAAAACAGTCAAAAACAGTTCTAAGCAAATGTGTTGAAGCAACAGTTTGAAGTTTTAAATATCTTGATGAAAAAATGAAAAAAAAAATGATGGATTTTCACTTTACAAGATGTTAATAGATGGACTGGAGTTGTATGGATTGCTTGTGGATTATTGTAAAATTTGTATCCACTGTTTGGACTCTGACGGCACCCATTCACTGTAGAGGATCCATTGGTGAGCAAGTGATGTAATGCTAAATTTCTCCAGATCTGTTCTGATGAAGAAACAAACCCATACACATCTTGGATGTCCTGAGGGTAAGTAAATCTTCAACAAATTTTCATTTTTGGGTGAACTATTCCTTTCAAATGGTAATTTTTTACCTTTTATTTATTTATTTATTTTATTTTTTTTGCTATGACCCGTGACACACACACACACAAAGTGATGTCACAGGTCATAGCATCCTCAAATAGTATTTTGGTAAGAACGAACAAGATGAGACATTATGGGCCAGTCTGGTATTGTAATCATGTCTCTGCAATGCTGCCTGTTGCCTGAGTCAAGAACTTTGACGTTTCGATTCTGATGATTGTTTTCATATCAAGAAGGCAACTAATACTGTTTTCAGGTGGGGCTTGCCAAGATGTCCAGATGCTTGCTTTGCTCTGGATTTCCAGACCTTCAGCACTTAGATGTCATGGCGGTGCATTATGTGGTCTTGGCATTGAGAAACATGGCCCTGATCTGGGTCTGAAAACATAGTCTCAACTTATGGACCACAGTCTACTGCTAGTGCACTAAAGATAATATTTACCTCAACCACAGGCCGGTATCCAATGCTCTTCATTATAGGGAATCCCCTGGAATTCATACCGTTATTATGATCCACTGTGTAAAGTAGGAATAAATTCAGAATTTTCTCAGTTTAGTTTATTATAGTGGACAGCTAGATCTTGCCTTGGTCTGGATCTTTGGGTATGTGGTCTTAACTCTGGCATGCAGAAATCATGTTAACGCTGCACAGCACTGCAGCTATGTCAGATGGCCTGGATAGCCAATGTGTTGTGCACTGAGGGCAAATTCATTGGTTTTCTGTTTATACTTTTGGCACCTC